GTTAAGAAACCTTGAATTTGAAGCTTCCAGCTTCTTCTGTTTTCTCCGTCATTCTGCTTTTATTTCATCACAATCTACATTAATCACAATCAGGATAGTTCTAGAAACTTCGTTCGCCACATAGACCTTTCCTGTCTTTCTCTCTTAGCCCAACTGTCTTAGTTAGTTCAGGCTGCTATAACAAAATAACATAAACTGGGTGGCCTAAACAATAAAAATTTCTCAGCGTTCTGGAGGCTGGAGGTCCAAGATTAAGGCACCAGCAGATTCAGTGTTGGTGAGGGCCTGCTTTCTGATTCATAGATGATAACTTCTCACATTCCATGGTAGAAGGGAAGGCAGCTGGCTGGGGGCCCCTTTTTTTTTTTTTTTTTTTTTTGACAGAGTCTCATTCTGTCACCTAGGCTGGAGTGCAGTGGCATGATCTTGGTTACCGCAGCCTCCACCTCCTGGGTTCAAGCAATTTTCCTGCCTCAGCCTGTTGAGTAGCTGGGATTACAGGTGCCTGCCACCACACTCGGCTAACTTTTTGTACTTTTAGTAGAGATGGAGTTTCACCATGTTGGCCAGGCTGGTCTCAAACTCCTGACCTCAGGTGATCCGCTGCCCCCAGCCTCCCAAAGCACTGGGATTACAAGTGTGAGCCACTGTGCCTGGCCTGGGGATCTCTTTTTTAAGTGCACTAATCCCATTCATGAGGGTTCCACCCTCATGGCCTAATCACCTCCCAAAGGCCCTGACTCATCATACCATTACATGGGGGATTGGGGTTTCAATTTGTGAGTTTCCAGGGAGATAAACATTCGGTGTATAACACCATTCGTTCTTCTCCTGTCTTTAGCTGTTAGCTTGGCACCTTCCAGTTTGTGCCTTATCCAGATTCAGCTTTTCCTGCTGTTGTTTTAATTTTTTGATTAAATTTTATTTGTATTTATTATTATTATTATTATTTTGAGACAGAGTCTTGCTCTGTCACCCAGGCTGGAGTGCAGTGGCGCAATCTCAGCTCACTGAAAGCTCCACCTCCCAGGTTCACACCATTCTCCTGCCTCAGCCTCCTGAGTAGCTGGGACTACAGGCACCCACCACCACGCCCGGCTAATTTTTTGTATTTTTGTACGGACGGGGTTTCACCATGTTAGCCAGGATGGTCTCGGTCTCCTTACCTTGTGATCCGCCTGCCTTGGCCTTCTAAAGTGCTGGGATTACAGGCGTGAGCCACCGCGCCTGGCTGTATTTATTATTTTTATAGTGCAGTTTTCTTCTAATTTATTTACTTCATTTTGATTAAATGAATTGATTTTAAAAGAAAACTCTTTATCAACACCATTATTGGAAAAACCAGTTCTGTTTGACTAGTAGAGACTTACTGCTAGAAATATGTCTATAATCTACAAAAATAAATCAACCTTGCTCATGTTATTAAATTTTAGTGTTATGCTTACTGTTGAGTAAAAATGGGAAATGAATGAGTATCAGGGAACTATATGGGTTATATTAGCACCCAACTATGATTTTATTTTCTTTGATTTGATCGAAAAGGTAGAAATAATTCAGAAAAGGCAGTATCTTTTTTGTTCTGGGTTTTAGTGAACTAAAAGCATCTACCCAATACTTAAGATCTCTCCCCCAGGCCCAGTCTGGACACAGTGACTCACACCTGTGTAATCCCGGCACTGGGAGGCCAAGGTGGGTGAATCCCTTGAGGTCAGGAGTTCGAGACCAGCTGGGGGGCTAACATGGTGAAACCCTGTCTCTACTAAAAATACAAAAATTAGCCAGGCATGGTGGCTCATGCCTATAATCCCAGCTACTCAGAACGCTGAGGCAGGAGAATCACTGGAACCCGGGAGGCTGAGGTTGCAGTGAGCAGTGATCATGCCATTACACTCCAGCCTGGGCAACAGAGCGAGACTCTGTCTCAAAAAAAAAAAAAAAAAAAAAAAAAAAGTCCTTACCAATTTGATGACTCCAAATGGTTTCTTATTGCTGTTTCTGCCCGTATATTCTTACCCAGGGCAGACTTGAGTGCCAAATTACAGAGAACTTAGAGTGTAGAAAGAACAGTGCAGACCTAGGTAACAGAAAAGGGGAAGACATGTGGGAGAAGACATGTGGGAAAATACATCCAGAGAGAAGCATCCAGAGAAAAAGGAGACCAGCGTCACATCCTTTTTGGCATGCAGATGTTTCCATATTGCTTTAGGTTTTGAACATTCTCTTGAGAACCCTTCTCACTTCTCTGATCTTCAGAACTGACAGAGGTAGATGCCATCTCAAAAAAAATAAAATAAAAGATCTCCTCCCAAATAGTATTTGAGCCATCCCTGCTTTTGCTATTGTCCCTGCCTCTAATGACACTTGTTATTGTGTGGGAAAGACAGTATTGCTTTAAAGTATAACTTTCTCTGAAAACAGAGAGTTACACCTATGTGGCCAGTCTTCCGTGCTGTCCAGGAGCTTCAGCCTTGATTCTAGAAATGAGTTTGAAAATAACCGCCACTGAATATGTGCTTGCTGGCTTCCTGGCCCTGGATCATCTGCTTTCCCAGTGTGATTTTTCTCCAGGTGTCAAAATAGCCCAGTCAGGTAGGCACTGCAGTAATTATCCCATTTGAACAGTGGCGGAAACTGAGGCACAGAGAAGTTGGGTAACCTGCCTGAGGTCACACCACTGTTAAGTGGCAGAATGGAGTCCCAACGTGTCTTGAGCTCATATGCATGACATCTTGTGCTCTGCAGTGACTACCTTCGATATATTCTGTTTCAAACAGTTCAGTGTTACACCGGTCATCAGAAAGTGTGTTAGCTGGGAAAGTTCTCTCGTTCCAGTTTCATGTGTAAACAAAAATATATGACATTTTTGGAAGGGGTGGGTGGACATGTAACTTGCTGTGTGCTCTGGTGAGAAACACTGTAAAATGAAAAATGACATTAATGTTTCAGATTTTACAGTTCTCTAATTATGCTTTTAATTATTCATATAAAACAAGTAAAATGACCCCTGACAGAGATATAAATGATTTAGGTAAAATCAAATATTTATAAGATGCTGCTGATTCCCTGGGTATATTGTAACAGATGGAATCAAAATGTTTTGCCTTCGTCCTTTGGATGCAAAATGTTATGTATGGAATTTACAACTGGCTGAGAAGGATCAACAGTGTTTGAAACACTACTGAGCTAATGCCTAAATGTTTTGACATCAGAACTAAAGGTATGTGGTTGGTATAATATAATATTTTAGAAGATATTTTCTAATATCTATATATAGAGATATATTTTGTATAAGATTTTAGATATTATCTTCTAAGATACTATATGTCACACAATGATAAGTCTCTCATTTTTATAGTTTTAAATAATTATTTGAAAATCAAAAGGTGGTAATATTTCATGACACATTGAAAAGTTTGTCATTTAAATATTGGTGTGATTAAATAAAGGTTTACTGGAACATAGCCTCACCCATTCATTTAAGTATTATCTTTGGCTGCTTCTGTGCTATAAAGACAAGAGTGAGCAGTTACACTAGAGACCAGTTGGCCTGCAAAGCCTAAAATATTTACCAACTGGCCCTTTGCAGGAAAAGTTTATGACCCCTGTTCTAAAACACGCCCAACACAGGGTGAAGGTGGCACAGCGCTGTAGCATGTTTAATTGGCACAAGAAACACTTGCTTTTACTTCATTTTATCCTTTAATTTGCTGTTCTTCTAATTGGGCATTCCTTGTATATTTTTTCAAAAGTTGGAGAAAAACTGCCTTTTGAATACAATAAAAAGGGATTTATATGAGAAAGTTCCTTCACTTGCTTTTAATGCTTCCTTTACATAGAGAAGTACTGAAACTAATTGCAGTATTCTAGAAATGGGTCATTAGCCTAGTCCCTATCTTTTATGGAGACCTAATTTTCATGCAGGATTTCTCACTAAAGCCCTAACTAGGATCGCTCTAGGAAGAGGAGACAATGAGGATAAGCAATTTCCCATGGCTTACACAAGCTTGGCTTTCGATCACAAACCATTCGGTATATTGTTTGGCACCTTACATGTATTTAGCAGCCAATAAGTATTTATTGAATGAATGAATGAATGAATTCACTTCTAGAGAAACAAAAAAAGGGAATATATCACTTGAAAAGAATTTGTTTTTTATTTAGACATTATATTCCTTTTGGAAAAATTTTTTTTGTTAATGTAAATCCAAGTTATTCTCAATTTCTCCTTCCTGTATTTCAAGAAAGAGCAGTATATTTTTGAAATTTAGGGTTGGAATTTAATTGAGGTTCCCTATGTGGTGGATGCTTCTCATGTGTTCTTTGGATGGGTTAAGGGAAATTATTTTTTGCTTGGAACTAAAAGAAAAAGTAAAGAAAACTAGTTATCTGCCAGTATTTGAGTGACTTCAAGAGTAGATTTTGCATTACACTTCCCTGGGTACTGTTATTAAATAACAGACTCCCAGCTCTCTTCCCACTTACTGTTGCCTTAATATTGGAAGCGCCCACAAATTTTAGTTTCCTGATATCTTGCCTGCATTTTCTGACCAAAGAAACACACCTATTGCATCTGGCTGATTATATATTTCCTATCTTGTTCCAGACCTTGTATCTTGGGGTAGCCCCATGAATCAGTGCTTAAAAAGAAGAATCTTGCTCTCTAGATGATTTTGACCATCAAGCAGTTTTAGGAGACACTGATTCAGAGTGACTTATTCTGTCATTGTCTCCATTTTTTAAAAATCTGTTAAATGGATAAGTAATTCTGAGATCATTCTCTGGAAAGTGTCATGATTTAGGGCCAACTGATGCTCTGGGAGCGTTCTGCAGCTAGAATGAACTAATTTATTCAGGTGGGTGTGTTCAATGTATTTTTTCACAGGTGCATGAGGACATAATTCACATCATGGTAGTCATGAACTTTATTAGAAGTAACAGGAAAACTCCGTTTGATTTTGAAACTCAGTTTGTTTTCCTCTCTTCTCATTCGTTTCACACAGTTGCCATCCTTCTGAAAGACGACTATTTTGTCAGTGGAGCTGGTCTGCCTGGCAGATTCAAAGCCGAGAAGGTGGAATTTCACTGGGGCCACAGCAATGGCTCAGCGGGCTCTGAACACAGCATCGATGGCAGGAGGTTTCCTGTTGAGGTGAGAGAAAGTCAAGATCTCAACGTGTAGCTGTGCTTCGGTCTTTATGTTAATCAGATGCTATGTCCTTACCCTCAGTCATTTTGCAAATCACACCTGTACAGTACCTAACTTCATCTCTCTGGAAACCCTTTATCCGTAGTATGGCAGGTGGGTATCCGTCCTTGTTTCTTGGCCTTTGTTTAACGGGAGAAACACAGAAGCCACAGGCATCATGGTTTGAGTAGACTCACTGCTGGTTGATGATGTTCATCATGTGTTTCATTTGACACAGTTTCTTTTCACTCTCTGTTCCCATTTTTGAAAGATGACATTATGTATGAAACTGGGTTGACTTCATTTTCACCCTTAAGAAAATAGAAAAGTTGGCAACATGTAGAGGAGTCTCAGAACCTTCTCTTGGTAGCAAAGTTGTAAGGTTTTTTTTGCTCCCAGTGGCTGTTGAAAAAGAGGCTGTGGTGGTATGAGTCACTGTTAATTTTGTTAGGATTGATGGTGACATTTTGCTTCTGCTGTGTCAATCTTCTCAGTGATCCATCCTGCTGGACAGTAGAAGGGTGTGGGTGCACTAGGTCAGATGCTGCTGTGTATCTGCTTAGAGCCAGGGTGAGGGAGGGAGCACGTCTCCAACTCCTTTATTAATGTTGGGTAGGGAGAGCACATCTCTTCCAATGCCAACCTTATATATTTCCTTTAATCATGATTGTTGTGTGACTATTCTTTTGTTGTGATGAACATGTTTGTTTCTTGGTAGGTCCCCCATGTGGTAAGCCTTAGAAGTGTGTGGAAGAACAAAATGAATATGGTTCTGAAACCTGCGCAATAGTCCCATAGACAGTTGTTTTGGATAAACATGGAAATTGGCCCTTCTGCTGTTAAAGCTTCACACTTGTATTTGTTTTATTTGAGTTCCTTCCTCAGGAAAGGACCTTCAGGCCTCTCAAAAAAGTATCAGAGGACTGAAGCTCACCAGACCATTGCACCAAATGCCTTCTTGCCCCTCCTTAGTTCTTGTTTTCCTACACATTGTTACGTTTCCTCCATGCTATTTAAATCTCTAGTTTTAGTCAATCAGGGAGCTGGATTTGAGACTGAGCTCACATCTCCTCTCTCGGCTGCAGCACCCAATTAAAGCCTTCCTTGGCAATGCTTGTCATCTCAGTGATTGGCTTTCTGTGCAGCGAGCAGCCGGACCTAGTCTGAACCGCGGGTGTTTCGGTAACAGTTCTAGCCTATGGCTGTACTCAAACGTGGAGTGACTTTTCACTGGTAACATACGTTAATCAAAGGAGCCACATGGCCAAGGAAGGTTTTCAGCTGTTAGAATTTCAAAGCTTCTAAGTCTTGTCCTGCTTTGATAATCTGATGAATTCTTGAGACCCCCTTCACAAAGAAGACACATGTATGTATCTACACATAGATGTGCATGTAACTGACAGGATTTCATCATTCTCCCTAGCTCCTCAGGCCCATTTTTGAACCCTGTAAGTATCCGTGAAGCTCTGGTGAAGAACCCCTACACAATAAGAAAATAATATTTATTTTTCTATAGATGCTTATATGGCCATGCAGATTTGTTTCTTATCCACTGTTCCTGGAGAAACCAGAGATAACTACTGTGAGAAAATGCTTCATGTTTTTTCTTGTTTAGCTGAGAAATTGTCAGTATCAGAATTCTTCCTGCATTAGGACTCCTCTATCTGTGGAACTTCCTATCCTAGTCACAATAATGATATCTTTCATGAGTTGGGTTTCTACTTAATGGATTCTCTTCCACCCTTAAAATGGAATGAATCATTTCTTAGAAGTCTTAGCTTTATTTGTACTTGGAAAACTTAATTCCTAGAAGCAAAATTACATCATGTTCTTAAGTGTAGGATTTTCCTTCTGGTCTTGCTGACAGGTTCCCATTGCCAATATGAGTTGAAGGGGTAGCTTTGTGTCCAGCCAGCTTTGCTCTGAAGCCTCTTTGTCTTAGAATTGGGTTGCCGTTTGTTCATTTTGTGTTGTTTTGGACAAAAGACCTGTCCTGAAAGCTTAAAAACTCAATCAGATGGCTACCTTGGAAAAGAAGACCTCTAGAGCTGGGAACTGGGAACCTTGCTTCTGTGTAATTACATTTCCTCATGCCCAAAATGACCAGTTTCCTCTTTACATTTGATTCTGGGAATAATGTATCAAAGACATTAATACCGTTTTTTTTTTTCTTTCTTTTTTTTTTTTTTTTTTTTTTTTTTTTGAAATGGAGTCTCACTGTTGCCCAGGCACATGATCTCAGCTCACTGCAATCTCTGCCTTCTGGGTTCAAACAATTCTCCTGCCCCAGCCTCCCAAGTGGCTGGGATTACAGGCGTGTGCCACCACGCCTGGGTAATTTTTGTATTTTTAGTAGAGACGAGGTTTCACCATGTTGGCCAGGCTGGTCTTGAATTCCTGACCTCAAATGATCCACCTTTCTTGGCCTCCCAAAGTGTTGGGAGTACAGGCGTGAGCCACGGCGCCCGGCCAGAGATTAATATTCTTTTGAAACACATGACTTTTGGTGAATATTTCAGTTTTACATTTCTCAGAGGGAGCCATTGAATTCAGAAGCTAATTAGAAATGGCAGCCACCATGCCCAGGCTTATTGTTTAACCAGGTTGTTTGGCTATTTTTCTTTTAAATAATGTCAGATGATATGGCTGCCTATATCAATTGGGTTCCTCATTGAAGTCCATCTGATTCATAGCTTGTTTTCTAAAAATGTGATAAACATATTAACTGTATTTGGAGGAACTTGAATTTCAGAGATTAAGTAACTGCATTAAATTTACCTTTAAAATATGCACAAGAAAGTTGCTTGCTTTTGCCCAAAGTGTGTCTGTGATATTTCATGTTAAGTTGCTTTATTCGAGTTCTTCATTAATACCTATCTCTCCTTACAATTTTTATACTATTTGAGCATCTTACACTTGGTTTGTTTCTTTTCACATAAGTACAATTGTTTTCCAAAAAACTAGAATGAAAGTAAGAAAATTTAATTTATCATGGAGTAATTTATCAGCATTGGGGACATTAATTATTTGTTTTGCATGCAGTATGTATGAGGGCTACAGAAGAGTCATTGTTGAAGATTGTGGTAGGATTGGTAGAATATAACTGTGGTTCTCAGCTGGGGACAGCGTCTCCCCCCTGCACCCTGGGGCATTGGGTCATGTCTGGAGACATTTCTGGTTATTGCCATTGTTGGAAGTGTTATGGTATTACTTTCTAGGTGGCAGAGGCCAGGGATACTGCTCTACATCCCAGTGTAAAGGACAGCCCCCACTAAAAGGAATCATCCAACCCCAAAATGTCACTAGTGTCACTGTGGTGAGATTCTGGAGTGGAGAAAGCAGTGTGTTGAGTGGAATTGAGCATTTCTTTATCTAAGTAGCGTCATTTAAAATACATTTGAATAAAGAGGACTTGTTTCTTGGGAAGTCATTCCATCCTCTTTGGGTTTTAGAGAGTAAATGTACCTTGCCTTATGTGTAACAGCATTGCTGTTCCTGATTTCTTTAGTATCTGCTTGAGATGCAGTCACGACCTTGGGAATTTTAACAGCTCCCTCTGTGCTGTGGCTCTGCAGGCTGAATTTTAAACATATGCCCCACAAGAAGCTGGATCTGCTCCCTGAGGGCAAATTGCAGCAAACTCAACTTTGTAGGTTTTGTTGCTTCCCAGGAATTCTTTGAGGTCATCTGAGACAACTTTGTAGGCATCCAGAAATTAAAGCTCTCTGAATTTTTCTGGCTGGAATCCTGGACTCAGTCTTGTAGTTCCTGCACTTAAAAACATCCAGTCTAATAGTTAACAAAGAAAGCCCTTGTACAAACAAAACAACAAAACAAGATGAAAGCTCTTCAGTAACCAGTGTTCTTTACAGCTCAGTTAAAGTTAGAAAAGAAAGTTGAAGTCACATTACAATGCCATGCCTTGGAGACGGAACCCAATTTGGATCCTCAGATGCCCTCGCCTCCTGTTGCTGAGCATTATTCCTTGCCTAGCAGCATTTTTCTTGAGTATCTTCTGTTGTACGTGGGCTGGTACACAAATATAAGTCAGAAAGTCACAGTTCCTGCCTTCAAGGTATTTACACTACAATGGTGACACAGAAATTAAACATTGGTCATGTTACTATCTATGTAATTTCAATTGTATTATAGTCTCTGAAGTAGAGGGATATTTTGATAGGGGATGGAAGCCTTCAATGGAGACATCGATACTTATTAGATAGAAAAGATGAATTGGAGCTTCCTAGTAGAATAAGGATATGCAAAAGCCGTGGGGCAGGTGGTATTTGTTAAGTTTAAGGAATAAAGAGGCCAGTAGAGATTTTCGTAGGCAAGATAATGTCTCTTCTTCTAAATGTCTGCTGCAAATATGTTACTTTATGTGTCCCAACAGACTTTGCAGATGTGATTAAGTGTCCTTAAAGTAAAAAAACTCAGAATATTCCAGTCATTAAAACAGGATGACCTGTTCCAGTTCTTCTGTGGCTAGTCAGCTTTCTGTTGTCAGTCCAGCCACAGTTATCTGTGACAGCTTCTATCGTATCCTAAACTTTTTTTCCTATTCCACACTCATTCCTGTTCTGTGGTTGGTAACTTAAATAAAGGTTTATCTAACACTAATAGAAATTTAATCATGCTGTATTTCCGCTAATAACCAAAGTTGCAGTTAATACAAAGAGAAACCTCCAGATAAAACCTTTGAGAACTCCATTAAAGTGGGGAGTTCATTGCATGCTTGTTGTTTGAGGTAATTAAAATCTTATTTATGACAATAAAAGATCACGGGAGTTGTTGATTCAGACTTACTGGTGCTTTATGAGTTGGAGTCTTCAATAAGCTTAAATGATCCAAATTGATTGTATGTGCCCCTTCTGGTAAAAGTCACAGCTGGTTCATTTCAGCTCTGTTCAGAGCATTTTAGTGAATGAATAGAAGCAAAGGCATTTTTCCTAATGTATACCATG